TGGATGCAGGAAGCCTGAATTTCACTGACCATTTGACACATAAGTTAAACCACCATCCAGGCCAAATGGAGGCTGCCGCTATTATGGAACACATTTTAGATGGCAGTTCGTATTTTAAAGCTACCAAAAATTTCACGAGATGGACCGTCTTCAAAAGCCAAAACAGGATCGTTATGCTCTCAGGACTTCACATAATGGCTTGGCCCACTGATTGAAGTATCAGATTTTCAACCATCATTGGAAGGGAGATCAACTCCATCAACGACAACCCTCTGATCGATGTTTCAAGGAACAAGGCGTTACATGGAGGCAACTTCCAGGGGACCCCAATTGGTGTCTCCACGGACAATACACGTTTGGCTATTACATTGATTGGAAAACTTATATTTGCCTAATTTTCGGAGCTTGTCAACGACTTTTACAACAATGGGTTGCCATCAAATCTCTCTGGCGGCAGAAATCCAAGCTTGGATTATGGTTTCAAAGGTGCTGAAATTTCCATGACTTCCTATTGTTCAAAGCTCCAATACCTTGCCAAGTCACCAGCCATGTCCAAAGTGTCGGGCAACACAACCAAGATGTGAACTCCTTGGGACTCATCTCTTCAAGGATAACTGCTGAAGTTGTTGACATCTTGAAGCTCATGTCTTCTACATACTTTGTAGCACTTTGCCAAGCCATTGATCTGAGGCACTTGGAGGAGAATTTGAAGAACACAGTCAAGAGCATCGTGAGCCAAGTGGCTAAGAAAGTTCTAACTATTGGAGCAAACGGAGAACTTCACCCATCAAGATTCTGTGAGAAAGATCTGATCAAAGTGGTCGATCGCGAACATGTTTTCGCTTACATAGATGACCCCTATAGTGCCACCTATCCATTGATGCAAAAGCTAAGACAAGTACTTGTTGATCATGCAGTGAACAATGGCGAAAATGAGAAGAATGCGAACTCTTCAATCTTCTAAAAGATTGGAGCTTTTGAGGAGGAATTGAAGGCCGTTTTGCCTAAAGTGGTGGAGAGTGCTAGGATTGTGGTGGAGAATGGAAATGCAGCGATTCCCAATAGGATCAAAGAATGCAGATCTTATCCATTGTACAAGTTTGTGAGGGAAGCTAAAGGAAAATAAGAAATAAGCCAAAATTATGAGCACTGTTTGTGAAGCAAATAATTGTGGTAATCGGCCTTGCAGCTAATCATTTTGTCCCTTACATTTGACTTAGATTAAAATTTTTCAAAAATATTTTGGTCCCTCTTAGACCCTTAGTAACATTTAGTCTGATTTTAAGGATGGCAATGAGGGAGGGTGGGGTCGGATTTCCCATTCTCCAGCCCCGTCCTTATTAGATGAACTTTTACCCGTCCCCGCCCCATGGGGAAATATTGACCCTGTTCCAACATCGACCTGAACTAGGGGCCAAATTCTAGAGAGAAAATCCCAGCCTCATTCCCCACACTATAGGGAGAAATTAGGTTTAGGATTTAGGTGACTTTGGCTATATATATGGAGGGTTTTTTGTAATTATATAAATATGTAAAGGTTAATTTAGTAATTTTATATTGAGGTTTAAACAGAGGGAGGGTGGGTACGAGGCAAGGAGATATGGAGAGATATCTATCCTTGTCCCCACCCCATCCTCATGTTCAGAGAACTTTTTTATCCTCGTCCTTGCTTATTTTGAAGAATCCCTACCCCATACAAGGCAGGCGGGGCGAATCCCCAAAATTTCAGGTAGAATTGCCATCTCTATCTAATTTCCTAATGTTAGAGGCTAAAATGTTACTAAAAATTCTATTAAACTAAAACTTGATTAAAACATTTTAGAAGGACATATCTATTAAATCTTAAATCTTGTATGTCCTGTCTTTCATTTAAATAAAAAAGAAAGATAATCAAATATCCTTCTGATAAAGATTATTCACTGACGAAAGAAAATAAATAGAAGTAAAAAAAAGAACTTTTATGTTCTCCACTAAAAGAAAAAAGGTTTCACAAACTAAACCAAATTAATTTATAAGAAAATAATAAAGAGTAATACTATGTATACAAATTAATTTTACAAACTGAAGTGACAACCTTGTATGTTTGATATATCATTTATTGTTATTTAGTTATTTTTAATTTAAAATCATTCAATCACATTTAAATCCATTAATTTATATGAGTGAGAGTGAGTTTATACAATGAGTTTGAACATATAGTATTATTCTTAAAAAAAAATTATAAGTTTCAACTATTAACATCATAATTGTCTTAGGGCTTTAAAACAAGAACATTCGTAAGGTTTAGCCTAAGTAAGCTTAGACCCACAAGTTTTTTTTTGGTAAACCTAGTAATTGGTAATTCCCTCTCCTATGACTCGAATACAAGACCTAATGGGTATAATTAACTCAGTGGCTAAAGGACTTGTCATCCGATCATAATGGGAAAGGTTAGACCTAGAGGTTCGGTAGATATAACATTAGAATCACAACCGTTAAGATTAAATTACAATTCCCCCCTAAAACTACCGGCTATTACAAGAACTTGCATGTAATAAAGTCTTTTTTTGTCTTATAATTTAAAATCAAAATAGTTTTAATAAAGGTAAAAATAAAAATGTACATAACACATCATTCTCTCCATTATTTTCTTATTTTCTTATTTTCTTCATTTCATTTTGTCTTGTCTCTTACCGCTCTCTTCCTCTCTCTATCTCCCCTCGTTCTCATTTGATCATTTCTTCATAACAGCTGTTAGGGTCAAAAAATATCCTGGGCCCAGATCGGCCCAAAGACGGAGATACCTCCAACAAAGGGTAAAACTCAGGCCCAATTCCGATGGGGCCCAAATAAGAGTTCTGTATATGAGGCCCGTTCGGTGTGCTTTCCCAGTTCCTCACCCTTTGGACCTAGGCCTTCTGATCCTAGAGCACCTTTTGGACTTACGACTAACTCGAAGCCCACAATCACCTATGAACTACAGTACTGCTTGAACTCTACTAAGGAAGTCAATCACTATCCTAACTCGTCCAAGGTTCGTATCCTAGGCGAACTGAGACTCCCTTTCCTACTGAGATAAGGGAGCCAAAGGCTCCACTCTTTCAGGGGACCACCGTTGTAAGGACCCTTAATCTCACCAGGATTCGAAGACTCAGCAGTCACTATTTAAACAGAGGCCAGCCTTCTCACAAAGGACGGAGACATTACACCTTCAGACCCTGGAGTTCCCACTTGAGAATTTCGCATTACAACCGTAGTCATAGTCCCCAACTAGACTTCCGGTAACCTTTCCTTTCCCTAACCCTCACTAGACTAGCCTCACTCAGCCTTGCTAACTTGAGCGTCGGAGTGCCTACGGAAAACACCACTCCAGTGTTTTTCGTTTGCTTCACACTTTTTTTCTTACGTGTGCAGGTGTAGCAGATCGCTAGTGGCATCAACCTTATGGGATCAGTCCCTCTTTCCGTAATAGTAGATTTTTGCATCTACAGTTTGGCGCCTACCATGGGGCCTCTGGCAATCATTCGTCTCACAAACCCTGCTACGTGAAGAGACTCTCTATGGCTGACAATTCTGATAACACTAATCCTGGCCTCGAGGCCAAACTGGAGGCTCTAACCGCCCTTATGCAATAGCACTCAGACAAGGTGGCCACACTAGAAGCTGAGAACACTGCCATCCGAACTGAAAACGCCACCATCAGGGCCGAGAATCAATCTCTAAAAGAGAAGGTAAGTCAGTTTTATGATCTTGAGCTTCTGCCTTGTCAGGTACAACCCAATCGGTTTCGCGCCTCGATTCTATCTATGTAGCTTCTCCAAACTCTAGAGCACAGACCCACAATCTCGGATACGAGGTTGCGCCAATTATGTTCGTCATTAGTTGATGATTCAGCCCCGACTAATAGTGAATGGGGGCCGCCGATAGAACCACTCTCAGTCGATCCACTTCAAGCACGAGATCAAGGCATCCAAGTGATAGAAAGCCCACTACAAGAACCACCCATCCTCGCCATCCCATCCTACCTTCAATTAGTCATCCTTACCCAAACTCCACCTGGCTCGGCTCATCCTCGCGGGTTGAGCGGTCCCCCACTCCTTCAAACCATCCCGCTCGAGTGCATTCATCCCAACGGGCCGAGCGAATCCCAAATAACACCTCTTACAATCTATAGGGGGCGAAACACCCGATCGGTCACAAGGGGAGTCACCCAACCAGAGGGAATGAATGGGGATCAAAGCTACTAAACGGCACATAACAAAGTGATCCGTCAAGCTACACCACGTGGATTGACCCACCAAAACGCACTAGGTGCGAATCAAGTGGCCAACCAAGTTAACCAAGACGACCTAGTGGTATCCGCATCTCCTATGGAACAGACATTGGCCGACATATAGGCAATGATGAGGCGCATACCCAGAATGCCAATCCCAACAAAAAAGAGCCAACCTCACTGCTATGCCGATTCACCCTTCGTAGACGCAATCGCACTAGCTGAGATACCACACAAGTTCACCATCCCCAGCATGAAGCCCTACAATGGCACAACCGACCCAGATGACCACATAGCCTCCTACAAGCAGCGGATGTTTGCCATATCGATACCCCGAATACTAAGGGACGCCTGCATGTGTAAAAGCTTTGGTTCAAGCCTCTCCGACCCAACTCTTCAGTGGTATACTAACCTCCCAAACTATTCAATCAACTCATTCGCACAGCTCACTGACACCTTCATTGAATAATTTGTCAGTAGTAAGAAACTCGAGAAACTATCGGTCGATCTGTACCGAGTCTATCAGAAGAGGGGGGAGTCGCTGAGAGAGTACGTCAGCAGGTTTAACAAAGAAAAAATCTCCATCTCCTCCTGTAACCTAAAGACGACAGTAGATGCCTTCAGAAAGGGTCTCCTCCCTGATGGAGAACTATATAAAGACCTGATGAAGCTCGGTTGCACCACGATGGAAGATGCCTTAGCTAGAGTTGTAATTCAAATAAGGTGAGAGGAAGATGAAATGAACAGGATGAGGCATGCTAGGTACGACGACCATCACCAAAGATGGAACGATAGAAGGCTAGAGTTCAGGTCAGTTGAGCCCCGTTACCAACCCACTCCACGCAATCTAAACAAGGTTAAAAGACCATATGATTGCCCGCCAGTTAGAATCGACAACAGACCATCCGAGTCGAGCCAATACAAAGTTTCGGAGTACAACCTTAACGTTAAACCAACCCAGGTTGTGGCAATCATGAAAGGGATGGGACCTACCGTTAAGTGGCCGAACAAGCTCAATCTCGAAGCGAGGAGGGACACGACTAAGTGGTGCGAATTCCATGGTGACCATGGTCATAACACCGCGAATTGCATCGCCCTACGGTTGGAGGTTGCAACACTATTGAAGAAGGGATATCTCCGAGATCTGTTAACGGATAGAGGGAAAAATATAATCAACCAGAGGAGCTCGAAGGAAACATCTCCGTCTCCACGAGAACCAACACCAAAAGGGCTCTGCTCAATTATTTTTGGAAGGTCGGAGATCAGTGGGGTCAACTATTCCTCGGCCAAGCGCTACGCCCGGGCCAACCATCACCATGAAGTCCAATCCATCCATCCGTCCCCTTGGTCACACACCAACCAGGTAATTCAGTTTGAAGATGATGAGTCAATCACCTTGGCCGCCCTTCATCACAATGCTCTAGTTGTTTCCCTCCAGATCACCAACATCCTGGTCAAAAGAGTATTCATAGACGGGGGTTCCTCGGCAAACATCCTCTTCCTTGAAGCAATGAAGGCCATGGGATAGATGAAACAAACACCAGCAGACGACCAACCATATTGGTAGGATTTAGTTCCGAGCAAAAGTACACCATAGGAGAAATCGCTCTACTTGTCTACACCAACAAAGTCAACAAGTAAACCATCTTTCTAGTGTTCAATTGTCCTTCACCATACAACGTCATCTTGGGTTGACCTTGGATCCACGACATGCGCACTATTCCATCTACCTTCCACCAAACCATAAGGTTTCCAACGAGATGGGGAGTAAGAGAGATCAAGGGCAATCCTAAGGCTTCTAGAGATTATGACAAAAACTCCTTCAAAAACAAAGGTCATGCTTCATAGCAATTACAGTCTCACCCAACTCCTTCGACTAAGATAGATCAACCATCCATGGAAGAGTTGGATGAAGTGTAGATACACCCGGATGACCCTGAAAGGAAGACCCTAAATAGGCTCATGCCTCGGGTCTGAAATAAGAGAGAGACTCGTAGAATTCTTCAAACAAAACCAAGACTGTTTCGCCTGGTCCCACGCAGATATGACAGGAGTCAGCCTAGAGGCAATTGTCCATCACCTTAAAGTAGATCCGGATCACCCCCTAGTGAAGCAAAGGCGTAGGAAATTTGCACCAAAACGCAACCGGATCGTCAATGAGGAGGTTGACAAATTATTGAACAATGGCCTAATCAGAGAAGTCCATTATCCCGACTGGCTGGCAAACATGGTGGTCGTGAAGAAGAAGAACGAAAAGTGGAGGGTCTATATAGACTTCACGAATTTAAACAAAGCATGCCTTAAAAACTCTTTCCCGCTCCCACATATGGACATGATGGTCGATGTGATAGTAGGCCACAAACTCCTAAGCTTCATGGATGCCTTCTCATGGTACAACCAGATTTTGATACACCCAGACGACCAGGAGAAAACATCCTTCATTACAGAGAGGGGGACCTACTGCTACAAGGTGATGCTGTTTGGTCTCAAGAACGCTGGGCCTACCTATCAATGGCTAGTCAACAAAATGTTCGCTGAGCACCTTGGGGACACCATGGAAGTGTACATCGACATCATGCTTGTCGAGTCCCTCATGGCCGAGCAGTATCTCGACCACCTCAACTAGGCATTCACCGTCCTAAGAAAGTGTAACATGAAGCTGAATCAGGCCAAATGCTCGTTTGGAGTCTCCTTAGGGAAATTCTTAGGATACATGGTAACTCAGCGTGGGATAGAAGCCAACCCTAATCAAATCCAAGCGATCCTCAACATACCGTCACCAACTTGCATCAAAGACGTCCAATGCCTGGTAGGACGAGTAGCCACCTTGAGCTGCCTCTTCTCCAGATCCGTCGACAAGTGCCACCATTTCTTCCACACACTCAAGAAATCTAAGAAGTTTGAATGGACCCCTTCCTGCGAGGGAGCATTGCAACAGTTGAAGAGATTCCTAACCTCCCCTCCACTCTTTTCCAAGCCCAAGGATGGGGAAAAGCTTTACACCTATCTGGCAGTTTTAGAGACAGCAATCTCAGCAGTGTTAGTTCGGGAGGATAATATGAAGCAACTACCGGTTTACTATATAAGCAAGTCACTCCTCGACGTGGAGACACGATATAGTCAGCTAGAGAAACTGGCACTCGCCCTCGTCTATGCATCCAGGAAGCTCAGGCCATACTTTCAATGCCATTCCATAGTCATACTCACCTCCTTCCCACTCAAGAAGATACTACATAAGCCAGAGTTATCAGGCCGACTCATACAATGGACAGTAGAGCTTAGTGAGTTTGACATATCTTTCCAACCACCCACTGCCGTCAAATCCCAGGCACTGGCAGACTTTATTGCTGATTTCACCCCAAACACCACTGACCAAGTAGAAAGAGAACTACTGTGCATGAATAGTGGATCGCCTTCAAAGTGGACTCTCTCAGTGGATGACTCAAGCAACGTGAATGGAAGCGGGCTCGGTGTTGTACTTACTGCTTCGAAAGGAGATGTCATCTAGCGGGCCATACGATACGGATTCAAGTGCACCAGCAACGAAGCTGAATATGAGGTACTCATCACTGGACTCTCCCTCGCCAAAGAAATCGGAGTAAGGAAGCTGGAGGTAAAGTCCGACTCCTAACTCGTGGTCAACCAGCTACAAGGCACTTACCAAGCCCGAGACTAGAAGATGATAGCCTACCTGAGCTTGGTGAAAGAATTGCAAGTCGCCTTCGAAGAATTCTCCATCGCCCAAGTCCCAAGAACAGAGAATACCCACGTTGACACCCTTGCTAACCTTGGCTCAGCCCTTCAATTTTGTTCCTAGTCATCCATCCCTCTACTATTCCTCCAATGGCCGGCTGACTAGAAGGAACAACCAACGAACAAGTCGCCCGAAGAAGTAATGGACATCAAACTGGTCGACTCCTGGATGACCCTAATAGTAAAATACTTGGAAAACAACGACAAGAATGAGGCATGCCGTTTGAGAGCGAAAGCAGCCAGGTTCACCATATATGAGGGCTAGCTCCTTAGGAAGTCATACTCTGGTCCTTACCTTAAGGGCATAAGCAAAGAAGAGGCCAAACGGGTTCTCGCCGAACTCTATGAAGGCGAATGTGGAAACCATGCAAGAGGACATAGCCTCACACACCGGGTGATCACCGTTGGCTACTATTGGCCAACCATCTGCACTGTCTCAGCAGCTTACATGAAGAAATGCGACAGTTGTCAGAGGTTCGCCCACGTCTCGTACCTCCCACCTTGGCCGTTCATGAAATAGGGAATGGATATAGTCGAAAAGCTCCTAACCGCGCTTAGGTAGCAAGTATTCATGTGGGCAGTCACCGACTACTTTACTAAGTGGATCGAAGTCGAAGCACTTGCATAAGTCAGAGACCGAGAGGTAAAGCTTTCATCTGGAAACACGTCATATGCAAGTTTGGGATACCGAAGGAAATCATCACTGACAATGGATCCCAATTTATCAGTTCAAGCTTCAGAGATTTCTGTGACATGTGGGGGATCAAGCTTAGCTTCTCTACCCCCCGCAACCCCCAGTCCAACAGCTAGGCCGAATCGTCAAATAAAATTATCATGCAGACTTTAAAGAAGCTCCTGCAGAAAGCCAAAGGCGCATGGGCAGATGAACTACTTGGAGTCCTCTGGTCCTACCGGACTACAGCCCCCTTATCCACGGGCAAAACCTCTTTCTTCCTTACATATGGATCTGAAGCAGTCATCCCAACTAAAGTATTAGTCCCTTCCACCAGACTCCAGTGGGAGGACGAAGAAACCAACAGCTAGAACCTTTGCCAGAACCTAGACACCGTTGACAAACTACGTGAGCGAGCGAACATCAGCAACGCAGTCTATCAGCAGGAGGCCGCTCGACACTACGTCCGCAACGTCCGAATCAGATCTTTCAAAATAGGCGACTAGGTCCTCCGCAAGGTCTTTCAAAACACTAGGGATATCAACTCTGGCAGGCTCAGCACCACTTGGGAGGGTCCCTACAATATTGCTAAGGAAGTAAGAAAGGGCGCTTACCGACTCCAAACTCTCGAAGGCAAAGACATCAGCAACAGTTGGAATGCAGTCCACCTCAAACGTTACTACTTTTAGTTTAACTCCTCCATCGACATTTCTGTTTTCTATTTTCTGTTTTTAAAAGGATGAGTGGGCCTATCCACCTCCATCACCGTCAGTCGGCCTCATGACCCGAGTACAATAAAGTGTTATTCAACAATAGAACTGTTTACACCTTCGATCGACCCCAGATCAATTCATAAGTTTACGCCTTCGATCGGCTTAGACCGATTCATGAGTTTACACATTCGATCGGCCCAGACCAATTCATAAGTTTACGCCTTCGATCGGTTCAGACTGATTCATAAACTTACGCCTTCGATAGGCTCAGACCGATTTCTCAATTCACACCTTCGATCGACCCAAACCGATTTATAGATTTATATCTTCGATCGGCCTAGATCGAACATAAGACTCGTAGTTCCAACCAACGAGCCATCGACCCAATCCACTAGACAGTCCACACGACTCAGCCACTTGGCCTCGTCAAAATCACATCACAAGCCGGTTCAACCCCTAGTACATCTACAAACAAACAAGTAATCAACTCATTCATCCACAAAGTAGCAAAACAGAATCACAAGTACAATATAAAAGGAGCCTCAAGCGGCTAAGTATAAAAGTAAGGCACACACGCCAGGGAAGGGAACCGCAGGTTATAACGCCCCACTTGAGGTACGTTGTTATTGTTTCCTCTTTTGCCCTTAATCGAGTTGGTTTTTGTTATTATTGTTTGTTTGAGTGGTTTGTTGAATGTTTGCCCTGAAAATTGGTTGAAAATAGAAGAAAGTTAGTATTTCAGTCTTCGCCGGGGCGAAGAAGAAGCTTCGCCGCGGCGAAGAGGTGTTGAAGCCATGGGGGGAGCTGCTGGACAGTTTCGCCGCGGCGACAGAAGTTTCTTCACCGCGGCGACAGGCCGAATAAAATGTTGATGAAGTTTTAGATATTTTCTTCCCTAAGAGCAATTTGACCATTCTACCCCTAATTAGTAGGAAAAGTGGGGAGTTAATTGTAAAGAATTTTCATGGAGAATATGTTGATATAGGGGTGAGTTTGTAATGAATCAAAGGATATGGATGGAATTCCCAAAGAAGAATGAGGGCAAAATGGGAATGAGTGTGTTTATATTTCATTAAAAGGAATTAGAATCAAAGAAACCCCTCATTTCTTCTTCTCAAACGTGACTCTTCATTCTTCTCCTCTCAACTTCTCTTTTCTTTTGATCAAGGTTTTTCAAGGGGTTTTTGAAGTGATTTTGGAGTAGAAAAGCAACCTAAGGCTTCCTAAGGTAAGGATTTCTTAAGTGTGTGATTTTGAGTTTTGGTTTATATTGAAGTTTGAGAGTTTTTATTCTTTGGTTAAGAGTAGAGAAAAAGTCAAGCAACCAAGTGAAAGGAAGATTTGGTGAAGTCTCTCTATAACAAGGTAAGTAAAACTCAACCCAAGTTG